TAGTCCTTCAGGATGCTTCCTCTGCTCTCTCTGTACTATGTTAGACTACTTACTTTATGCATCTTGTAAAATTATAATTAAATTAAATAGTAGTCTTGACATGAGTCCTTGTTCAAGAAGCAGTGAGAGTATCCATCTTCCTTGCAATACTGTCCTGTGTTGTTCCTGTTGTCAAGTTCATGATTATTGTTTTAATAACATTATTGTTTGTAATCTTTAAAAATACAATTTATTAATTATTTATTTAAATAAAACAATAATAATAAGATTAAATAACTTCTCTTAGCTAGAACTAGAAGCCTGGAACCTCCACTAAGTATTGCAGTTGATCCAAGCATAGCTAGATACGAGCTAGATAAAAAAATTGCTTGCATTTCCCAGTTCTGAGATCTGAGCATGCGCGACCACACCCAAATTTTGGAGCACATGTTTCTTTTAATGACAAAATGGCGGAATGAGGTAAGTTTTGACTGATGCTACAGTCATAGTGTCACTTCTTCCTTTCTTGGTGAATGAGGTCATGGGACATGGACCTGCGCATAGACTGTTGGAGTAGAATGGTGTAAGAATTAGCCTTCTTGCACCAGCCAATATTGAGATACACACCGACAACTGGATTGACAGGAGATGATGATGATGATGATGATGATGATGAAGACGACTGAACAAAACGGCCGTTTTGCCGATTTTTGACTTTCCTCTTAGACAAGGTGTAGAGCCACGCTAGTGGTACCTATGGAGTGCTCTGGTCAAGATAAGGTCCTCTGAGAAGTCTGGTAAGCATAGGAGCCTTGTTTTCCCGGTATAGCAAGGCTGCAAAAGTTGTGGCAGCCATATTGTTTTGGGGGTGAATCCTACTTAGTAACGCTACCGCGTTACTAATACTACGAGGACTTTGGCCCAAGTAACTTTTAAAAATTGTAAAGAGTATAATTTTGATTTGAATAACTCAAGCTTTCTATACAGTACAAAATTATGCATGTATATTTGAATAATTATAAAAAGCTCTTATCAAATTTTGAATGGAGTTTTAAGCAACTTTTAAAATTATTGAAAAAACTTGCATGCAATAGCACTATGCCAAAATCCTGTATTAACCCTATTTGTACATGATAACTTACAAGCACATCTGACTCCTGCATCTTCAGAGTGACCACAGTTGTGATTTGTGGTGTGTGTACAGTTTGTAAGGTAAGATTCACTTCCAACACACTGGACATCATCCATCACAATTGACCCATTTCCTTGTCCAAAGTAGGCACTACCAAACGCAGTTCCTATGTTGGGACACTCACACTGTAACTTATAAACCTTTCCTTACCTGAATCATATCCCAGCTGTCTACATACAACACCAGCATCAGTCGAATCCCAGGAGTCATCACACACTGTACCCCACCTTCCATTTTGACACAGTTCCACTCTTCCTTCATCCGAGTTTGATCCACCAACAAGACGCAGAGAACCAGAAGTACAAACTGAACCAATAAATACATCTATTAACAGCACAAATGGATTCTACAAACTAACCATCACAAGATACTCCAGCATCCTCAGAGTGTCCACAGTTGTGAGTACTCGAGTGTGTGCAGTTTGTCAAAAACTCTTCTGTTCCTGTGCATTGAACATCATCCAGGAGGATACTACCAGTACCCTGACCAAAGTAGGCACTAGATCGAGCAGTTCCACCTGTCACAATATATCATTCATTGTCAAAAGGAATCAACAAACTTGTTCCCCAGTCTAGTTGTCTACACACTACTGCTGCATCAGGGGAGCCCCAGTAATCATCACAGACAGTACCCCATGATCCACTATCACACACTTCCACTCTTCCTTCCCAATCGTGTGAACCACCAACAAGACGGATTGATCCAGTAGTACAAACTGTAAATTGATATTCATTAATACATAATTATACCTTGTAATGCATGAGTGTGTCTGCAGTATTTAAAAATAATAATTAGAAATCTACTCAATTTAAAGTAAACATTGTTGTATCAATGTACAACACAAGTCAATAGTAGTTACAATGTACATGTATGGCTTTTAGTGTTACAAACTGCCAAACTTTTAATCTCAAAAATAGATTTACTGTACCATCAAAGGTATTAACATTGATTATAGTGATGTATGCATGAATCATATTTTGTGTGCCTTATAGGGAACTCACAATCATTAGTACAATGTAAGTACAAAATTTTAAAGGACTAAATTTCAATGAAACCCAGAAGTGAAAAATAATGCATTTGCACACAGGTTATACCTAAAGCCACTATTATTTGCGAGTACTAATTTTTGTATTTTTGTGGCTTTAAAATCGCAAAAATTAGTACTCGCATTTATTAATAATTTAGGTTTATTAACAGTTATTAATTGGGAAAAAAGAGCAAAATTACAAAAAATAACACACACTAAATCAGTACCATTAACAAATCGCAAAAATTTGTCTACTTAAAAATAAGTGGCTTTATGGTAACAAAGGATGCTAAGTAAGCTAAAGAGCATGCTTAAACAATGGTACATGTACATGGCTTTTGAAGCAACTTGAAAAATTTATAAAACTTTGATTGGAATTTGGAATCAGCTAAAACTTGCTACATAACATAACAACATCAAAAAATGGAGAACTCCAACAACGACTCAAGTAGTGATTTTTGCACAATCTGGCCAATAACCCTGTACTAAAGTAATGTGGCTTGGGCCGAGGTTTAAAGTAGTTTCAATAATAATTTATAAAAAATTGTTTTAATCGAAATCGGTTCAAACTTGCTATAATAACATAAGAACACACATATGCATCAAAATGTAGAATTCTCTTGTAGTGATTCTTGGCAAAACTTTTGGCCTTAAAGACCTTGTACTATTTAGGACTTTGGTCTGGTTTCTGAATAGTTTTTAAAATTTGCAAAACATTTAATTTTTATTGAAATAAGCTCAAACTTGCTATAAAAAATTTAGGAAAATTGTCTTCTACCAATTTTTGAAAAGTACCCTGCATAAAATATGTGGTAGTTTGATTCTTGAGCAACTTTACAAAGTATTTTTAAAAATTGCATCAGCACTATGCAAAATCCTGTGGCAAACCCCCTTGGTTCATCATAACTTACAAGCACATCTGACTCCTGCATCTTCAGAGTGACCACAGTTGTGATTTGTGGTGTGTGTACAGTTTGTAAGGTAAGATTCACTTCCAACACACTGGACATCATCCATCACAATTGACCCATTTCCTTGTCCAAAGTAGGCACTACCAAAGGCAGTTCCTATGTTGGGACACTCACACTGTAACCTATAAACCTTTCCTTACCTAAATCATATCCAAGCTGTCTACATACAACTCCAGCATCAGTGTTGTCCCAGGAGTCATCACACACTGTACCCCACCTTCCATTCTGACACAGTTCCACTCTTCCCTCGTTCGAGTTTGATCCACCAACAAGACGAAGAGAACCAGAAGTACAAACTGAGCCAATAAATACATCTATTAACAGCACAAATGAATTCTACAAACTAACCGTCACAAGTTACTCCAGCATCCTCAGAGTGTCCACAGTTGTGAGTACTCGAGTGTGTGCAGTTTGTCAAAAACTCTTCTGTTCCTGTGCACTGAACATCATCCAGGAGGATACTACCAGTGCCCTCACCAAAGTAGGCAAATGATCGAGCAGTTCCACCTGTTACAATATATCATTCATTGTCAAAAGGAATCA